CTTATCTCGTGACGTAGCCTAGATATGATTTTATAAATAGTATAATTGAAATTAATTCAAGCGATACACCAACTTTCAGTCCAATTTAAAGTATTAACTTACAGATTATATGTTTTAGTGTTGAATGATTTCAACTAGAGATTGTGTTTCTTAAGTCGATAATCTGTAAGAAATTGATGTAAGCATTTGAACATGAGTTGGATCGTTTTTTGAGCTTGATAATAATGATAATAATAATAATGATAAACATGCCTCTTATATGTTAATCTAGCTTACTACTTATTTGAGAGAACCAGGAATGATTGGACAACTTGTATTGACTGACCTGTATCGAAATATATATACAAACTCATTTACTATTACAGATAGGTTTTCCTTAGAAAACTACATCTGATTTTCAACTGATAACATGTATCTATCTCGTTTGGATTATTAAATCAAATCTTGACCAACACTGATCAGAATTTCTCACCTGTCATTTGTCTTTGAACGCGATACATTTGATTAAACTGTCCGATTGGAACAATATTTATATTTTCCTCATCGACGTTGATATGACGGTAGAATCTTTCGTAATTGCATTTTCTTGATATTCAAGAGTAAATTTGCATCAGGAGGTGTACATAAATCCGGAGTAGATATCTTGATGCTGATTTGTTTTAGAAAACTAAACGAAATTCGATCCACAGAGTACCAAGTACATGAAAATACAAACTTTTACACAAAGACTTTACATGGATTGAACAAATTCGTAAATATTGAAACAAGACACTCTGAATTACACTACTGGTCTGTTGGGGAGGACGTTAGATCCCCAATACTCACTTAATAAAGATCATAATTTAGGGGTGTTTTTTTTTATGTTTTCGCGCAAAGGCTGATCAGTTGACCTTAAGATTACATTTTTCACCAGGATGATTGATGTGTTATTAATTTAGTAGGCTAATTTTGTAGCTCTCCCAAGGACATTTCTAACATGTATAAATAAACTCGATTAGTGTGCTTGTCAAAACCTCGATTTTCTGGATGCTTGTAGAATACACTTTCTACGCCCTATCAAGACTTCTTGATCTAATTAACAGGGCCTGGGACAACAGATTAGAATAGCCTATCGTGTCACTGGATCATCATTTGTCTTCGCTCTCTCTTTTACCGCCGACTAAGCTGAACTCATAATATTAGCATTCAAGTATATTAACTGAAGACGATCTTATCATGGTCACTATCAAAAAAAATTATCAAAATTTCAATCCTTATTGCCTTAAACATTTATTCATTGAATATCTAATTGAGTTTAGAAATTTGTTCGAATAACATCCAATAATTATTAGTTAAGCTCATAGTATACTGCCAAAGATAATTTTAGCCTGAATAATCTATTATATATATATATATATATATATATATATATATATATATATATAAATGGAAACCATGAATCAATCATTGTTAGACCACCATTAGAAACCTGGAAGTACTGGACGGCCGTTCCGTCCTGGTATGGGACTCATCAGCATATCAACTGATGACGAGCATAACAGTGACATAGTATGTTGAAACTTAGTTTCACAGAGAGTCATTTTTATTACCAGAATACATCAACTCTTTCAATCGAAATCAATATTCCTCACTTCCCTTGTCTATTAAGAAAAATAATAATTTTTAAACTGAAATCAATGAATATTTGAGTTTTTCGCAAGAGCTTTTTATTCATAACCATATTCAAATCATTAAATGGTCATTGGTATTATTTAGAGTTAGGTTTATATATATATATTTATATATATATATAAAAATATATATATATATATATATATATATATATATTTCAATTAGTCCTGATCTCTCTCTCTCACTATGTGTCTCACTCTGTGTCTCACTTTCTTTACTATAATTTATCTCATCTTGCCTGTATGAATATCATCACGCTTTTGTGAATAAAGCATAATTTATTTATATTCGAGATGAGTATTCTAGACAATGGACAGAGAGAGAGAGATGGAGAGATGGAGAGTTCCTATCACAATAGAATTGAGAAGGGAAGAAAGAAAAAGAAGTTTGGCAAATCTTTTAGTTCCAGTCATTTTTAATTTGGCTTTTTTCTACAATTTAAAATAGTTGAACTATTAGTCTATTTGAGAGAAAAAAAATCAAAACCAAACTGAAATGAAATGAATCGGTTAGATGAAAGTTTATTTTTCAAACTTAAGAAAAAAGTATTTTAAACATTACGACACATTTAAAAATACAGATTTTATTTAATTTTTTTTCTAACACATTGTGAAACCATGAATGAATAAATCATCATTGTTAGACCACCATTAGAAATCTGGAATTATTGGGATGACCTTCAAATTCTAGTATGGGACTTATCAGTAGTAATGAGCATTCATGATTTCTGCTAATCAGAGGATTAGAACCTACAACTTTCGGTTTTGCATGTGAACAACTAACCTCTGGACCATTGATCAATCTAAGGTGTTGAGGACATTAGATCCCCAGAAATCACTTGATCAAAAGGTCCTAATTTTCGAGCAAAGGCTGATCAGTTGACCTTGAGATTATATTTCCCACCCGGAAAAACCTTGACTGTTATTGGTTGATGCGTTATTATTTTAGTACGCTATTTTTGTGACTCTCCCAAGGACATTCCTATCATGTACATAAAAACCTCGATTTTCTGTATGCTGACAGAATACACTTTCTATGCCATATCAAGACTTCTTCATCTACTTAGTGGGGGTCTTGAGACGCTTGGATTAGAGTAGTTTATTGTGTCACTGGATCATTTGTCTTCGCTCTCTCGTTTACTGAATAAGATGAACTCATAATATCAGTAACATTCAAGCATATCAACTGGTTATGAGCATAACATAAGGCATTGTGCAACCTCACCTATTTTCTTTGGTTGATAGTGTGTCTACACTCGAGCAGGATTGAACTCTACTCGTCACAATGTCTTCTCACTAGAACTTGGAGAATTTACTCACTAGTGAGTACATTATAGTATTATGATTCATTCATGATTTCAATGGGTAAAAACAACGATCTCCATATTACTTACTACTATAAGGCCAAAACACATTTTTTTGTTTCGTGACAAAAAGTAGTACAGTACAATGTTGACAATATTTCTAATGTGACAACTAGATTGACCATAGAAGAATAGTTAAGTTTTAGTTTGTGAATTAGACCTTAATGATAAGTCGATTAGATTTGATTCAAGCTAATCCTAAATGTGTATTCCTACTCAAAGTACACAATTTTGATACCGACAGCGCAATAATTTCGATTTGAATAACTGGATTACTCCTTCCTACTTTACTAGTTAACCGGAATAGTGTTTTACACTAGCTGTGTGAAAACTAAAACCCGTACTCGCTAAATGAATCATTTCACATGGTGGAGGTATGTACTGATACGGTTCATTATCCTTCTTGGAATAAATTCTTTGATAAGTGATGACCAAAGTGTGCGAAAAAAGTCTCGCGTGCAAACACTCAACATGCACAGCATTAAGCCAGCATACAGAGGTGTAAATATCTAACTCTAACCAATCTAAGGTATTGCGCAACCTTGTCGGTAGTTACTGCCTACAACCGACAGGGCTGGATGTGCACTGTTGATACGTCCCATTCCATCCAGTGCTGCCAAATTTCTAATGATGATCTAACAATGATAGATTAATGATTTCAATGAAAAACATTGAATTCAGTCAGTCAGTCAGTCAGTTGAAACGTAAGAACTTCGTACGTATGTACATAAGTTCATGTTGCCATACCACATGAGCACAGAGACGCAGCTGTCAAATCAAATCCCATAGTCATAAAGATAGTAGGGGTATTGATAGTAATGAAGAAGACTATGGTTTGAAGATATTATTCAAGAAGTACAATACAGTGAGATTAGGTTAGAAAGACAAAGGTAGGGGTGCTGACGAATGCAGAAGATTAGGATTTGAGAGAGAACAACAAATGGATGCACTTGCGCCATTGCAAAACGATTTTGAGCCATGTCGTTCAAGGTCTCTAACCATTGGTGACTTTCGTCTCACGAATCGCAACTAGGTAGCCTACATC